CCCCCCCCCCCCCCCCCCCCCGCGCCCCCAACTATACATGCTAGCTACGCCTCTGCCCACACACGTCTTAAAATATTCTAAAACGAACTAAGTTAAACACTCAACGATTTCATTAGTGAAGAATTTGTCAAATTTAAAGAACTCATCTCAATATAAATATTCTGACTTCAAAATTAATTAGGTCATCGAATCGGAAAGGATGTTCTATCATGAGGGTCTAAGAACTCATTATTACCGTCTGAGAACCCCGGCTAGCTCGAACTTGCTTAACTCGAACTCCCCGCGCGCCAACTCGAATTAAATTTCCCCTGGATGTAACCCAATTTTTACAGTTCTGTAATTTACTCGAACTCCACGCTTACTCGAACAAATTTCATTTTCCCTTGGTCAAATTCAACCGGTTAACTCGAACTGTATTTTTGAGTCGTGGATCGGCAACTTCAACTGTCAGAACATAATTCCGTATGTATACTATATACAACCATAACAAAACCCGGGCTTAACAAATTTCGTCGATCATAGCTGATTGCTTAAGGTGGCTCCTTACAGTTATAGTACAGTTAAACATATTTATATATAGATCAGACGTCATCGAGGTGTTATCCAAAAAGAAAACGCTAGTTTTTCAATATAATCCTACTTTTTTCAAAATTCAAACAGTACGTATCTTGTTATCTAGTGTTAAACCGGTTATTCAGTGTGTTTTTACGTATCTATTTTACGTTCATTATTGTGTTTTATACGTATAATGCTCACAATTTTCAACAACGGGGACAGAAACGACATATTATACTGTCGTCATTGCACACTGTGGTATTCTTCAGGGCTGATAGCTAGCCGATACTCAGCTGCTTCACCTGTGAATTGGCTTGGTCCCCTCGTATCCGAGGCACTTCCAGTGGATCCAGTTGGTTGTCTTCACATTTTTCTTCAGCAGCAGAGAAATATTCATGGAATGCTTCATCTGTGTTCTGAGCGCTAATATGTGTTGATGATGTCTTAATAGCTTCTACCATCCCAGAGACATTTTCTGTCTTTGCTTGAAGTGCGCTATTCAACTGTTCCAGGATCGCGACTGGCTTAGCTGCCATCTTCAGTCCGAGAAAGACTTTCCCCTTCTGAAACCGATCAAGTTGACCGTTTGCTTTGGTTTCAGTGTCCGTTTCACCACGTACCATTTCTTCCAAATATTGGAGAATAGCAGGGTACTGATCGAATGCTGACTGTATGGCTGCTAGTCTGCATGACCACCTTGTGCCACAAAGGGGCTTGATCGCTGTGGGACGCAGATTGTCATCTTCGGTTGATTCACAAATTGCCTGGAATATCGCTCTTGCTAGATCTCTTCATAAGCACACCTACAATCATGGCCAAATGTTTGTGGAACGCAAGCTAATTAAAAGGTAAAGGTGCGCGAGTTATAATATTGTCACAGATTTAACGAAAAAGGAACACCCCCGGCCTCCCTTTCCAATGTTGATCCTAGTAAATCAGATTGTGTGATGCTTAATCCGAGCAGAAAACAATCCCAAACAACATTGACTGGGGGGGAAGTGTTTTTTTATTCAAATAAGGGTAAAAACACGATATCGCACTTTACGTTCCACAACATTTGGCCATGATTGTCTGAAAATATGTGATCGTAACATCAGTGGCGCTATGCGAACATTTTTTTGTTAAAACTACCAAATGCTGCAAAATTAAACATACATAAAAATCTATAATTTATCAATAAATATTGTACCACTTGTGCGTATTAGATAACTGTTCTTTCTGAAACTAAACACGGCGGTAGACGGTTATATGTTTAGTAATAGATAATAGACCTTATGCATAATGCGCAAGGCTTGATGCCCACGAGGAATGGTGGTCTTAGTAGTCATCGGCGGGGGAAAATTTTGATAGTGGCCGTTTTGAATTGTTTAATTTTGCCGGCGATAACTACAAAGACCAGCATTCCTCGAGGGCATCAAGCATTGCGACATCATTATGCATAAGTTCTATTGCCCATGCCAGACAAGCAAGGTCGCTATGGCATCCCTTGCCCCTTGATGCAGAAACACTTAAAATTGAATACACAGGCGGCAACAGAGAATATCACCAGTGAATCTTACAAACAGTTACAAACTCGAGTTCTTCAAGTATTGAGAACATTCCCTATTGACATCATTGATAAAACAATTGACAGTATGGGCAATTAAGCGAATAAATAAAATGATTTTGTCAAAGACAAAGGGATATTGAACAAAATACTGAATAATTATAGGTATATTATTAATAGTAACGTATTAATATTTATTTATTTACTTTGCCATCATACTTATACATTCATTGGCTGGGAAACCACAACAGCTATTGCCAATTACAGCGGCCCCAATAGTTATACAGAAACAATTTACAAGGTATACTAAACACACACAACAGACAATACTTCAACAACAGTCATTACATTTGTCTAAAAGCAGCATGTCAATGGAGAGTTCATTAAACTTCAAGCGAAATTACATTTTATACACACACTTTTCCATGTCCGGGGATCCTCAACATCGTATGTATTTTCTAATGCTAAAATATAGTACTTAAAAAGAAGATTCTTGAATTCTGAAAATGTTAGGTCTTTGGATGTAATATAATTGGGTAGTGTGTTCCATATTCTTGATGTTGGGATTTTGTAAGATTTTTCATAGGTTGACGTCTTGTATGTCGGAATTTTATATTTGTGCGAGTTGGGATTAAATGATCTTGTTTGTCTTTGACCCTGAGGTTGAGGAAATGGAAGAATTTTTTATCAATATTAAAAATGTCGTGATTTGCCTTATAGAAGAATACTACATCCAGGTATTCGTGCCAGTAGCTGAGAGGGAGCAAACTGGTTGCAAGGAGTCGGTCTCTATATTCTGTATCACAAATAAAGGAAACATTTAAAATATATTTAGTTGCACGCCTCTGAACTCGTTCTACTCTTTTCACCAACTCAACTGTTTGGGGCGCCCATACTTGGGTGGCATATCCTAAGTGTTTGCGAACCAGAGAAAAGTATAGTGTTCGTCAAATTGCAAACTCGCGAAGCATTTTATTAGCTTTGTTACTTTGTTGTGTAAATTGCTTTGACAAAGTGAGATCATAATTCGTCCATACACCTAAATCGAGCTCGCAATCAGTCTTTTCTAGTATGGTATCTTGTAGTTGATAAGGGAAATCTATTTTGTTGTGTTTCCTGGTGACCTGGAGGGTTTTACATTTTGATGTGTTAAGATGCAGACCAGCATTGGATGAGGAGGAATTAAAGTTGAGAAGATCATTTTGTAATAACATTGCATCGGTCCTGGAGTTAATCACTTTAAAAATCTTAGTGTCATCAGCGAAAGCTGCTACGTTCGAATTCACGATGGAAGAGGATAGATCATTGGTATATAAGAGGAAAAGTAGCGGGCCAAGAATGAAACCTTGTGGTACTCCGGATGTCACTGGTAGTGCTGTCGATGTTGCACCGAGAACAGTAGTTTGTTGTTGGCGATTTTTCAAGTAAGAATTAAACCACATTAAGAGATTTCCTCCGAATCCAAATTCTCTGAGACGATGTAGAAGACGTACGTGACTAACCTATCAAATGCTTTTGACATATCCAGGTAGATCACATCAATCTGCTTTCCGAGATCTAATTGGCTGCCGATGATATCTAAAACTTCAATTAGTTGTGTCATGCACGATTTTCCTGAAATGAAGCCATGTTGGCAAGAATTTATTTGACTGAAAGCATGTTCTTTGATACAAATGAACACGCAACGCTCTAAGACTTTGGAGACAAGTGAGAGAAGAAAAATTGGCCGACAGTTTTCTACATGATCTTTATCCCCCTTTTTGTGGATGGGTACAACATTGGCAAGTCTCCATTCTCGAGGTACTATTCCACTTTTTAAGGACTTGTTAAACAGAAGGCATAGAGATGGAGCGATTTGGTATGCAGTTTCGGTAAGTAATCTTGCTGGGATTTCATCCGGACCATGCGCTTTGTTGTTATCAAGATTTCTTAAAACTGAGCGCACTGTTCCTTCCGACAAAACAATGTCATTAAAAATAGTGTCAGTGGTTTCGGATATAGATTGTTGATTAACAATATTGATAGGATCACTCGAGAAGATTGATACAAAGTAGCGGTTGAAAAGTGTTGCGATGTCCCTAGGATTCTCGGTATATTCACGAACATTGTTGACACTTGTTTTTATTGAAATTTTTTCCGGGACAGAACGTGTTGCGCCTTTTAGTTCAAATAGTGACCAGAAACGTTTGGAATTGGTTTGGATGTTTGTGCAGAGAGAGGAAATGTAGTTGGATCGGCTGATTTTTATCATAAGCTTGATTGTGGCTCTGAGAGTTTTAAACTTGTGGCGGAGATAGTCACTGGGAGATTTTTTCAATCTTTGTCTTAAGGAATTTTTCTTTTTGATGTTGTGCAAAATTTCACAAATCACACGCGTTTCGTGTTGTGCACGCATTATAATTTACACGCATGCGCCAATAGTGATCATGTTGAATCGATATTTTGTCACATCAGCAGCTTCAATTAGACTTTAGGGCTATTTTTCTGGCGTTTCCTCCCACTTTGCACATTTTCTAGGTATGATGATCAGTAACGCATATCAAAATTTTAAAAGGAATTCTACCAGACAGATTTTCTGTAGTCGTCACTCGTGAATACCTCGAAACCTGCCTTGTAAACATCCATTCAAATTTGAATATGTTATTCCTATATCAACCATAAATCTTTAAAAAAATTTTTTTAGAAAAACTGACCTAAGGAAAAATAGATATTTTCGTAGAAATTAGACAATATAAGTGCATAAGATAAAACGTCATGGTTGCCATGGAATCACCAACACCGTTCCAATTCGTTTATTGTCGACACAAGACTTCTTACCTTTGCTGGAAATGATCAAATTGCCCTGTCTTAATTAAGTGTATTCAATATAGATTTGGTTGAAAACGAAGATTTAATACCTAAAATGTTTAAAATTTTAGGAAACTTTAGGGAGCCACCTTAACTTAGGTTGTTAACCTAGTTAACTTGAACCCCCGCTAACAAATTTTCCATTTTACCATGGCCAGAAATGACGGACATTGTGCACGTGTACTAGTCGGTCAGCAGTCTATCCATTATCCACAAGAATTCCTAATTGTTCTTTCACGCCCTATCAAGGCATCCGGAATTTCAAATATTCGCGTGGGTGTTGTTTATAAAGCAAAACATAAAGTATACACTCAAGTTGTGGATTTTAGAGTAGCATGCGCAGGCTCAGGCTGTAGCTAAGCAACGACTACGGCAATGAAATGAAATGAAATGAAATGAAATGAAATGAAAAGAGAAGATTTAGAAGAGTATTCTGGTACCAAACATGTAGCAAGGCAATCAATATTTCGAGTTTTAAATAGTTCTTGAAATATCTTGACTGAAAACAATAACCTGTCCGCCATCTTGTAATAGTTCACTAACGGTGGGCTTGGTGACATCGAAGGCAGGTTTAGCACGTATAAAATCACTGCTGTGTAAACATGCAAATAACAATTAGTATAGTAGATGCTTGCAATTTTCTCAATCAATTTAGTATTTGAAACAGTGTATGCCCGAAGTATAGTTTTGGGCTCATAATGACTTCAGGATATCCGATTAAAAAATTTCTGTGACTCTGCTTGTGACGTAACGTACATATCCACATGCACTAATCCAAGTTGGCGGCCAACCACTGATTTCTGATGATTCAGACAAAATATCTCGAGAGCTTAACAACATTTGGAGAAGCTGAAAAAACGTTTTCGCCCTAATTTTGTAACTTACAAAATAGATCCTGATCACTATCAATGTTTAATATAGTCTGGATTAGCTCAATGATCCATATTGGATAAAATGTTAAACGCACGAGAAGATCTGCCAGTGCCCAGTTTCCCATCAAGTAAGATGTAGCTGTATTTTTTCCCCAAGAGAATTGTATAAATTATGACGTCACTGCCGTAATATTTCCCAAAACTCCAAAAAAACCGAAAAGAATTTAAACACAACTGAAAAGAAAAGAACATTGTTTGAAACCATGGTTGCCATTTTTGGTAATATAAAGGCAAAAGTGCTTCGGAGATGTCTGCCGAGGACGACAGAAAGTAGTGATGAACACTTAAGAGACAAATAATTTGTATGGAGAGTTTGCATAACGGTCATTAACTACTTGCCAATGAACTCTGTTTAAAGTTATGAGAGTATAAATTTTCGAGTCAGCTATAGTCATTGCTTAAACTTACAGCGAAAAATTAGATAGAGTAAATATTGTTATATAGAATTAAAATCATGAATTAAAATCATACAAATGGTTTTAGTCAAGTATCTGCTCCAATGACGCACGATCGCGATCACTGTATCGTTAATTTGTTGTAAAAGAAGAATATTATGCAGGTTTGCCAAGATAATTTGGAAATTTCAAGAATTTTAATAGTAGGTATTGAGCTATAAATTTTCTTAAATATCATTTTTATAATGTTCTATTTGATGGCGCTGGCATTCATGCTCAGCCGATTTTAATGTTGGAATATTGATCTGCGTCCTAAGTCATGCACGCTTTTCAACACCTGTTCAACAGCTTGGCTCATGTAGGGGTATGTGCACGACTCAGTCGAATTTTAGGGTGGGCAGGCGGACCCTTTTCCGCTTACGTACGAGTGTCTGTAATTTTCGAATTCGATTACGAACGCTAATAATAGTGTTATATTTGGTAGGAGTTTCCCACATATTTTTCTTCCGTAACACATATTTGCGGCGGAAAGCCCTTCAGATGCACGGAAACGTAGCTAGAGAAAACGGAACGCCCAGCGAAGGCTGGTTTCTACCTGTATTGAACCACAGTATTTGTTAGTGCCCCTTGAAGCATTTGTTTTTCTATTAGCAATTTCTAGTCATTTACAGAAATTCAGCGTTGTACAATGTCAAACTAAATGGTTATCATATTATCAGGATTTGATATCGGATATGGAAAATTTGCCTATAGCATATTGATATAAGCAAATTGAAACATTGCTGGTGCTCATTAAATAATTCTAGCCTGGACCAGAAAGGGAAGAAAAACAATTCGCACTCCCGCAACCGTTCGAATTTCCTTGCAAAGATGAGATTGAGAAAATGAGATGACATGAAAATGACATGAGATTGGGAAATGAGACGAGTCAGCATGCTCTTGAAAACCCAACATATTTTTAAATTATTATGTTGCATTGGATCGAACGATATTCTAATTATATTTATTTATCTTGGGGCGAACAATTATTCACTAATAAGTGTCACTAAATTGCTAGATCGATTTAATAAACATAAAAACATTTAGGGATCATAACGCAACCAACTGTAGAGTTAGTTGCCCAGACGATAAACACAACCTAACAACTATTTAAAAACTTCTTTTGCATTCGAAACACCCGAATGTTTATCACACTCAAGAAGTGCTTCAGTGAAAGAACCCCAACAAAAAAGGTCGGCCGAGATATAATCGACTTGATCCAGTGAACAGAAATTGGCGGCGCTGTAATACAATTTAATACAATGTAATACAGCAATAATGATAATGCAATGTTCATGTATTTATGTCGGCTCTCGTCACGAACTGCGTTGCTAAATAATCAAGGCAGAAAGTAGGAAATGCATCACCAAACCAAACCTTAAAAATGCTGTTCACCGGAGAAACACCGTAAAATCCTGGCATTAGTTTTTGAGAGCTGAGAAACACCGTAAAATCCTGGCATTAGTTTTTGAGAGCTAGGATGGAAAATCCACAGTTTGTGAGTTTACTGTATATTGCACCTAAGTATTTTGTCAAGAATAGCCGAATTCATATTAGAGGCGAGAAACTCATCTCAGACGGGAATCTAGTCAAAGGCTGGATCTAGAGTAAGAGAGACAAACAAAATGGCGCCCCAATACAAAAACAAATAAGCAAAGTAACTCAAGAAATACTACTTCTATAAAAAATCAAAAAACAAGGTTTGGACAGAAGACGAAGTTACTACATAGTTATGCAGTTACTTTTGTGCAAGCACAAATAAATGCAACAAGCATATTACCAAATCCAATTTCATCTTCCATCGTTAGTAGTCTTCGGGCTAACTGACTGTCGTCTAATATATTGCATGTAAGTCGTTGTGGGCCTTTCGTTTTATATAACGAAAAGGTCGTCAGATTTAGATTAGGACTAGATTAGGGTCAGATTAAGATTAAATTAGGGTAAGGGTTCGAGGTTAGAGTGGGGGTTGGGTGGTGATTAGAGTTAGAGGTTGGAGTGCATGGGGGTTTGGTGGGGGTAGGGTTTAAATTAATAAAAAGCATATCCGTATAAATCTTAGAAAATTTGACATTTAAGGATAATCCCTATAATACTACGTGTGAGTACATGCTGAAGACAGTGCTCGCTTAACGATTACAGTTGTTTCAGCCAAGATTTGCTTTCGTTGTTTCACCGTTAAAATTCGAAAATTGAGAACAAGAAGTAAAGTAAGTGGAACGCAAATAACAATTTTTTCTCTGTTTGTGACACGCTAAATGTACTCAGGTGTATATGATGGTTATGGCGTTACACTGAGTGTGAATTCACACAGGGCAAGCTTGAAAAATATGGCTGGCCACGGGAGGAATCGAACCTACGACCTTTGAAATACTGTACTAGCCCAATGCTCTGCAAACTGAGCTACGCGGTCAGGTCGGTTCGAGTATGTGATATTTCGGAACAGAATCTACTTCCTTCGAAATCAATGTAATCTAGTAATAATGATTTTTTCTGTGTTGGTGTAATGTACTCAGTTGAATATGATGTTTGTTGTATTATTCTGAGTGTGAATCCACACCGGGCAATCTTGAAAATATGCCTGGCCACGGTGGGAATCGAACCTATGACGTTTGGAATACTAGCCCAATGCTCTTCCAACTGAGCTACGCGTCAGGTCGGTTCGAGTATGTGATATTTCGGAACAGAATTTAGTTCCTACGAAATCAATGTAATCTAATAATCATGATTTTTTTCTGTGTTGGTGTAATGTACTCAGGTGAATATGATGTTTGTTGTGTTATTCTGAGTGTGAATCCACACCGGGCAAGCTTGAAAATATGCCTGGCCATGGTGGGAATCGAACCTACGACGTTTGGAATACTAGCCCAATGCTCTTCCAACTGAGCTACGCGGTCAGGTCTGTTCGAGTATGTGATATTTCGGAACAGAATCTAGTTCCTTCTAAATCAATGTAATCTAATAATCAAGATTTTTTCTGTGTTGGTGTAATGTACTCAGGTGAATATGATGCTTGTGGTGTTACTCTGAGTGTGACTCCACACTGGGCAAGCTTGAAAAGTATGCCTGGCCAAGGTGGGAATCGAACCTACGACCTTTGCAATACTACACCTACGTCCTTTAGAATACTGGCTCGTAGGTTCGATTGCCACCGTGGCCAGGCATATTTTTCAAGCTTGCCCGGTTTAGATACACATTCAGAGTAACACCACAAGAATCATATTCACCTGAGTACATTACACCAACACAGAAAAAATTGATGATTATTGGATTACATTGATTTCGAAGGAACTAGATTCTGTTCCGAAATATCACATACTCGAACCGTCCTGACCGCGTAGCTCAGTTGGAAGAGCATTGGGCTAGTGTTCCAGAGGTCGTAGGTTCGATTCCCACCGTGGCCAGACATATTTATAAGCTTGCCCGCTGTATATTCACACTCAGAGTAACACCACAAGCATCATAATTAGCAAAGATATACTCATTAACAAAAAGATAATATCATTGTTACCTGCGTAACAAATACTCTCCTTCTTATCGAAGTTGAAAGAAGGGACAATTTTCAGCTTAAAGAAACACTTCCTGCAATTACTGTACCTCTATTGGATTTTCTCCACTGGATTTTAGACTTGACTTTATAGGTTAGAGTATTACATTCTCAGCGATCATGTCAAGACTACAACGAACGCATTTTGCCAGAAATAAGTAAGATTAATTATAAATTGCCACATAGATTATAGATCTCAAAAGTGTTTGGATAACGTGTAAATTAAAGGTGATAATCGCAAATATCACTGTAAAAGGAGCAAAAACACAATTTTACAATATCATTATAGCAGGAGTTTATTTTCCTTGCTGCATGCCCTCGCCGCCCGCAAGCAAATAAACGCATGGGACGCAGGCTAGAGTGGAAGATTCAATTATTACAAAGAGCTTTGAAGCAATTTTTGTTTGAAGAAATGAGAAAAATTGATTTACTATGGGAAATCGTGAAATATAAGGCTCACTTTGAATGTTTAATGTTGTTTCATATGAATTTTGTTGCTTTAATTAATTTCTTGTGTAAAACATACACTGCTTTCCATTTCAATGAAGCTGTTAGTTTCATAAATTACCCTGTTTAATTTAAGAAAAAAAGTTAAAATGTAAAACCTTTCAAGGAGAGCAAATTAATTTGATTAATTAACTGAATTTGCTAAATAATTTAGAGTCCTCAACAATTTAAATTAATTTTGTTCCAGTATAAATTAAGTAAAAACATTATATCGGCAAAAGTGGTGTAGTTAATTAACATTTCAAACACTTTACTAAGCGAGTCAGGTTAAATTTTGTATTTAATTTAATCAAAGCTCACAAAATGCAAAATACAATACCAACAGTACATATTTCGGAAATTTATTGTTGCATAGATGAAGTAGTAATCGATGAACTATTTTTGCCGTTTTGTACAAAAAAACAAAAATTTACAATTATCGCGTTGCCATGGCAGCACTCGACGTAAATGCGAGCCTGCGTTTAGTGTTGGCCAATAACTAATACTTCATGTTAAATCAATGTTTGAAAAATATGGGCACGGGTTGCTGCATGCATGTATTTCCAGTTACCTCCGCTAGGAGGTTATGTTTTCATCGGCGTTTATATGTGTCTGTGTATCCCTGTGGGTGTCTGTGTGTCTGTTAGCACGATAAATCAAAAATATCAAACGTAATAATACAAAAATATGAGCGACTAAATTGAAATGGAAAAAGCCCAAAGACAAATTGGTTAAATTTTGGTTAAATTTGGATGTAAATTGGATGCGAAACTAGCAAAAGTTTGTCTTCCTTTGCCAAGCAAAATAAACAGAATGCGTAATTAACCCATGGAGTGTATAATTTATGCATGATATACATAACTCAATTTGTTGACGGAGGTATGTAATCTTCGAGTGCTCTCTAGTAATCTCTATATTCTGATCTCATTGACGAAGGTTTTGGTGACACCAGAGGACAGCAACCATGCAGCCATACCAATCCACTCCCAGGTGACAAAAATAACAATTAATAGATGCTTACAATGTTGTCAGTCAATTCAGTATTGAAATAATGACCAAAGTATAATTTGGGGCTAGTCATAATAACCAGGTCATAGCATATATGGGAAAAAATATTTGGGTGACCGATCTTGATACGTAACATGCATATCCACACTATTTCCAAGATGGCGGACAGATCGCTGATTTATCGTGAAAAATAAACAACTTTTGAAGTGAAATGTTTACTTCATGATTTGAACAGTTCTTACAAATGAGACAAAGCATTTTTTGTGCCATATCTCTTTGAGACTGTTCACATATCCATGTTAATTCGCTTGTCGTGAACTTCTTTTGCGCATGTTCTAGTGCACCGCACGGTAGTACGTACTATGTCTTGTTTTGTAACAATTTCTACCATTTATTTGTTAAACAATTCTAATTATCAAGTGCGATGATATTCTTGTCTATGTTCAAATTTAGCTGGAATTATATTTCTCTTTATTATATAATAGAGAGTGAGATACTGAAAAATACACAGTGAGATATTTTCATATCTTCACTAGTGAAGATATCGTTCACGTGACTTTTTTCAATTTGCTTTTGAGCGTGAAATTTCACAATTTTTTTTTTCTCTTTACTTTCCAAACATGCAGGTATCAACAGGGTGGACGTTCGTCGACGCTGCATGAAAATAGTGCGGGCTCGTGAGCTTTTTCCCGCAAATTTTGCTTTTCGATGTTTGGCTTACAATTTCTAAGGATGTTGAAGTTTACAGCAATGTGATTCACTGGTTTTTGAAAGCATCGGGGTTTTTTTCGTTGGAACTTGCAGGCTAAATCTTCAACAACCTAATGACTGTTTTTAAGGTTACAGGACACCCTTTTTGGCGTTTTACGGAAAATCGCTACTGCGCGCTCAATATCAGTCCGATTTTCATAAAATTTTCACCAAATGTTCTCCAGTTCACGCAAAATATGGTAAAGTTGTAAAATTAACAAACAATAAAATATTGTAAGAATTATTTAGGAAAATCTTAAATTGCGGTACCTTTACGCTTTTGAGTTGTGCTCCTGCTGGTTTTAAGTTATATTTATGAAAATATCATTTTTATACAGTAAAATAGTTGTTCTAAAAAATTGTGTTCGGAAATTTTTGTTTATTTCGTCGTTCCGCTGATATGGCGATTTCTTTGACGACTGCAATATATTTCTGAATTGTTTGAGTGAATTGCTCTTTATTTTTAAAATATCCAAAATTAAAAAAAAGCCGAACACAATTTTGAAACTGACGTTTAGCTATGTCCTGTGAAAATTTGAGAAAAATTGGTTAAAACCCGCAGGAGCACAACTCGTTTGAAAATCAGTAATTACCGTAAAATTTTTCGTGAGAAAATTGAATTTGAATATTACATTTTCAATGTTTTTCTTATTGCAGCGAAATGTATTTTATTAAATAACTCTGCGAGTTTTCAATATTTTTCGTTCAAACTTGGTCAGATAGTAGAACTAGTCTAATGCTTTCATTGAACCAAATAAAAAATTTTTAGGCAAAATTAACACTCAAAGGTGTTCTGTAACCTTAAAGCAAAGCAATTGAAAGGAAAACTTATATTTTCATACGAAGAAGATGAGTGGCGACATTTATGTTGGACTGTTTTGAGCAGATGCTTCGAAGAACATGATATAATCGGACCTTGTATCTTAAAAGTGTATTTGGAACAGCCGAAGAAAGTGGTAAATTTTGTTACCCGGTGTGTTGGGCATCATAATTCACAGGAATAGTGCGCAGCAGGGTTTAAACTGGCTATGAAATATCCTGAATACTTCGTCGAGTTCTCTACCGCCATGTGACCTGTAGTTTAATGTGACACGCGTCTTTGAAAGGGCTTTACTTGACTTTAATCGACGTGTAAGGTATAACTTAGGTAAGCCAACATTTGTTTGTAATGCAAGCTACATTTTCATATCTTTAATGTGTGAATATTTTTAATTTTGTAAAAAATTAATCGCAATATGTTGTTGGAAAAAGTTCGAGTGCTTCATAATAACGCTCAGATCTTGTATACAGATATTCGTATTTTATTCAAAATCTACCCTTTACCACCACTTTTTTTATTCTTTTATGTTAAAGTTATACATAATCCTTGACTTAAAAACACGATGATCTACTCGAGGAAAATTGGGCAAAGGGGCGATCTTTGCAGAGAAACTTGACCGTTTGGTGAAATTGGTAGTTCAGAGACCCTATTTTCATTGTAGTATTTCGTGGCAATTTGTTGGCCGATTTCTAGTTTATATTGTAGAACGGGTTCCTAGTGAGTTAAATTAATTGTCTATCCTCTACAGAATAGTAATAAGCGCGACTCCTTTTTGTTGACGGATGTTGAATTCATTTTAGACTTTTGTTCATAAACAACAACTACACTACCGAGTACTAAATCACTGTTTGCAAAGAAATGAGCCTATATCACCACAAAAATTCAAGCTTATTTTTAGAGTCAAATAGTTTTTCCATCGATAAAAGTAGTTTTTATGGAGTGAAAAATAGGGCAAGTACAAATTTAAAGAAGGTCAATTTGCACTTGTATATCTCACTTCGAAAAGGGTATACATATTAAAAACAGGTATATTTGCACTGCGAAATTAAACTGCTGCAACAAAGTTTTTATTTCTACTTTCACGTTCTTATTCCAAAGCAAACACTTCTAAGTTGGAAATGCCTAAAATTGTGAGCGTAGAAACACTAAAGAAACAAGAAAACGACTTCATAACACGAGTAGTTTTTGCAAATTTTGATGTTTGTTTTTATAATTCAGTCACGCGATTAATCCGCGCTCACGTGCACTCCACGCTTACGTTTCTCGCGCATGCGTAGACGCAAGCCAACCCTGTTGCAGGTATCTACATAGAGATTATAAATAACACTAGAGGAGGCATCGAGTTTAAAAACTGGGAACGCAGCTAATGGGGGGCAAATTCAAGTCCCGGATATAAAATCGTGCTGTCATTGGCTGATTTGAAACTCGTCACCAATGGGAACACGAATACACATCCGGGACTTGAATTTGCCCCCCAATATTCGCGTTCCCTTATTTTTACTGAATTAAGATTACAATGCCTCCTCTAGTGTTATTTATAATCTCTATGGGTATCTATATGTCACGATTACGTGTTTCCACTTTTATTTGGAATTTTATATGTTCTGCAAGGTCATTCACGGGTGATATTCTATATTAGCGAAAATTTCAAACTCCCCAAATCAGACTTCGAAATGCGATGAATCTCGATCAAAATAGCTTTACATTAGTTACAGTATTTCTCCCGTCCCTAAACTACATTTTTAACATGCAAGGTGCAAAAACGAATTTTTAGCCGAGTTCATTAGGACGAAGTATGTTAACATGTAACACGATATGCATATGCCTTTTGTTATCAAAGAGATTTATATGCGTACTGCAATAAACAAATTCAATCGTATCAGTGAACGACGCCCTGGTTTATCTGAAATCCCAGGGCGAAATATTGTTTCCACTGACTAGGCGATATTTCCAATTGTTGCTTATAGTCAGGCCCGTAATACGTATGAGTTAATTGAATCGGTAACTCGGTAAAAATATTCGTGAAAAAATTTAAAATAGGAAAACTCCAGTTCAATGACAGACTGTAGTTCTCCCTATGTAATGAAGCATTCTTCTTGCCCTACAGTGACGTAAGAAGTGGGAGGCTGTGTGGGTGCACAAGTATCCCAATAACAACAGTTCGTGCTAACGCCCACAATTGGGCACAAACACTTTTTTGTTATGCACCTGATCATGTTGGACCAAGAATATTTGTAATTCTTAGCCTCAACTGCGGTATAAAATTATAGTCGTTGTTTAATTGTTTATGAAATTGATTTTTTGTTTGAACTGCTCCTAGAATTGAGGAAATAGCGTTTCTAAGCCGTAAAAAATCAAAAAATATCCCCAGACCCCCGCCCCCACAAGTGTCTCAGTCAAACAAAAATCCTAGTTACGCGCCTGACAGTTCCTGTAACATCCGCATTTTCCGAGTGCAACTTTTCAAAGCTGAAATTAGTGAAAACTATTATGCGTTCAGTAATGAACCAGGAACGCCTCGGTGAACTCTTGACTCTTGCGTGCGAGCGCGATCTAACAAACACGAATGATCTTGACGAAATCGCTAATCTGTGGTCAAAACTGACTAAGCGAAGTCAGTTAATAAAAATATGACGTTTCAAAGCAAACTGTACGTATTCTTGCAAAATTCTAAATAAATAACATCAATTTCCATTCTTTTATACTCAATTTTATTGCAACACTCCAAGTCACCAAGAGTCGGTCTGGATTCACATTTCAGTGGTGGGTCGGTCTCATTTTGTGATTACATCCCCCCAAATCAAAATCTATATGTCCGCCCCTGATGCTAAATAATGCAATTATCGCCTAATAATATCTTATAATTATTTCTCTATTTATATATATATATATATATATGACGTTCTTGAAGATACAAACTATAGTGTGTTTCTAGTTTGTATTGTGCCTATTCAACGCCATGCGAAATTCAATATTATTCCCTCCATTTTACAAGCTCATGCAGTGACCAATTAATACTATAACGTTCGAACTGACTCAGTGTTTATTACCGTCTAAAATGCTATTTCATTCGAATGATAATAATGAAGTTTTCCCATTTTAGCAAGCACCTTGTTCTCTTTGCTCATATGTTTGTTCTTTTTGGTATTCGTTTGCAAGTTTTCCATAGTTTTTGATGTAGGACTTGCCAAAATGTCCTAAATTGAATATGCAACATGGTAGTGAAACACGTTATTGCTGAGTAAAGTTTGACCGAAATAATTATTAAAGAAATTTTACCATTATGCACCTTCAGTACACGTATATATCGCGCATCCTTAAAAATTCGGTTGGCGAGGAGAAGAAATGTAAAAACCTTGCGCACACAGTAATTTTTGGAGCAATGGTGGGAAACGCTCAATTTGTGAGTTTATTACAGCAAAGCAATTTCAAAGGAATATTTCCATAAGCTTTTCTGTATTTGATATGTCTCAATCCATAGATGAATGCGTTCACAATTGAGTTCATTCCATAAAAATCGTATTGGAAAACGATGAACCACATCTGACGACATGGCTCCGTACAACTTCTTATCGCTTTGCTAACCACAGTTGGAGTAAGGACACAGAATGTTAACAGTGCGACAACGATAGCAAATGTCTTAGCTGCCTTGAAACCGACGAGAAGACGGACGATGCCAATCAGTCTTTTGGATGACATTTCGCTGGAAATGTTAATGGTTACCGTTGCTTCAGCCAAGATTCGTTTCCGCTGTTTCCGTGCGACATTGAAAATTTGGAAATTGAGAATAAAGATTAAAATAAGTGGAACATAACCAACAAAGATCTTCAATAACAAGTACGTATGTTCATCTGCGGAGCAAAGACTCCTTAGTCCAGAGTCAACTGATCTCCGAAAACGAAATACTAAGACAGTGCAAAGACAACAGACAGCTAACCAAATTCCCCAAATAGCGAGAAAAACTCGTCGTTTTGTCACAATCAGTGGATACTTCAGAGGTTTTATAATATACAAATACCGATCAACAGTAATTGCGAGAAGTGTAGCCACTGAAGCAAACAGCAATGCCCAGATGGTAGAACGATGCAACTTACAGAATAGATCCTGATCATTGCCAATGTTTAATATAATCTGTATCAGCTCAATGATCGATATTGGATAAAATGTTAAACACACGAGAAGATCTGCCAGTCCCAAGTTTCCTACCAAGTAAGATGTCGCTGTCTTTTCTTTGCCCGAGAAAATTGTATAAATTATGACTGTGATATTTCCCAAAACTCCAATAATCATCGCAATGAATTTAAACACAACTGAAAAGACAAGAACAATGTTTGAAACCTGCATGGTTGCCATTTTCGGTAATATAAAGGTAAAAATACTTGGAAGATGCAGCTGGATGTCTTCTGAAGACGACAAAAAATAGTGTGAAACACTTAAAAAAACACTTGTATGCAGTCGAAATTTACATAATGGTTAATTGACTACTTGAACTCTGTTTAATTAAATTTAACAAAATTGTGTGAGCATAAATGTTTTAGTCAGCTATGAGTAGTTGCTTAAATTTACAGCTTAGACTTAGATATTGCACGTTAAAATTATACATTTTATAGATTTAATATTGTTACATAAACTTATGAAGTAAAAATCATACAAATGCTCTTACCCAAGGGCCTGTTCCAATGACTCATGATCGATCACTGTTTCGTGACATTTAACTTCATAACAAATGACAAAATTTTATTTTAATTTATTCCAAAAAACGAATATTATTCAGGTTTTGCCAGGTAATATGGAAATTTCAAGAGTTTTAACAGCAGATATTAAGCTCAGCCGAATTTAGTGTTGATTCTACGTCCTAAGACGTGCAAGCTTTTCAACAGCTGTTCATCCGTTAGCTCATGTAGGGGTAATGCGCACGACTCACCCGAATTTTAGGGTGGCCGGGGGGGGGGGGTGGTATTTACCGCTTGCTTCTCAACTGGAACTGAACAACAACTGAGCCTCTGGTCGCTATCTTACGTTCCATACCTCTGTTAACTACCCACCTGTATAATACATGCCGGTGATCTCGTATTTCTGTTGGTACGAGCTTATTTAATTTTCGAATTCAACTACGAGCGCTATGAATAGTGCTATATTTGCTGGGAGTTTCCCCCAAATTTTATCCGCGCGACAGACTTGTGGCGGAAGGCCCTTCATGATCAGATACGCTAAAGCGTAGGTATAGGAAACAGAGCGCCGACGAAGGCTGGTGTGTAGTTGCATTGATTACGTAAAGGCAAACACCCCCATGTTCTATGTGCTTACGGTCCCTTCTTAGTAATTGATATCCCTCTATGTTAACCGAAACGTTAGGAATCGATTCCTTTAACCATGTTTCGGCGATAGCAGCGATGTCACAGTGATTTTGTTTCATGACAAAAGCCACTTTATTATTATTATTATTAAAGGTTTATTAAGAAACACATTTTGGCACCCGAAGGTGAATTGCAATATGCTTACAGAAACATAATAAAAGATGAATATCAAATAATATAAATATATCGTATATGTACAGTTGTTAAAATACTACAAATTATTTACTATTAAAATTAGCAGTCATTGCTGGTATAAAACTAGTTTTAAAACGTTCCGTTCTGCATTTAGTTAATGTGAAGTTAGAATTGTTTCTTAAGTCCAGTTCATGCGATTCTTCACGGAGTGGGGGTAAGAGGTGGTTGAGGTGAGCATCGGGTTTTAAGATTTTTTTTAATGTTTTAGCACATAGCTCTTGACGTCTGTCGACAAGGCGCTTGCATTTAGCGATGTTGACAGCATCTTCGTAATCTGTTGTCGGATAAATAATACGGGAATCTCTTTTTTGAACTTTTTCAATTTTATCCCCCAAACACTTTGGTAACATGGTGTGCCAGACAGAACAGGCATATTCTAAGATAGAGCGCACCATAGAAAAGTAGACTAGTAAGAGGTCATTGGGGGGAAGACCACAGCGCTGTAGGACACGAATAATGTATAATAATAATAATAATAATAATAATAATAATCTGTTTAATTAATCACATTGCAGTCTCTACTGAATTACATGATTATAAGTAAATACATTAAAAATTAAATTTACAGATAAAATTGAGTTCAAGCCGTTCAATGTTCGTTCTGAATAGTCAATTTAAATCTGTCCACAAATTATAATTGGGTCCCTGAATTAATATACACGAGTACTACTAAATCAATAATACATTAATACATTAATAATTATATTTGACAGTTATAAAATTTTGAAACCGTTCTGTGTTCGTTTGGAGTGACCAGCTTGATTCGGACCTAAGATTATAATTATGAGTATTTGGATGTATACGAGTTGCAACAACATCCTTAAGAGGATTTATAGGAGCATTGTCAAGCTTCAATTTCCGAATAAATTGTTCACAGGAATTATGTCTACGCGTACTTTTTTAGACCAGTATAATTCAATGCGTCTTGATACGACATTTCGGGAAGCAAGATACGTAATGCTCTTCTCTGTATCGATTCGATAAGGTGAGACTGGCCTTGGGTCAGCGTTGACCACGCAGGTGAAGCGTACTCAATTCGGGACCGAATGAAGGAGGAATATATAGTGACAAGGTCTTTATCGCTTAACCCTGCCTTTTTTAACTTCCGCAATGCATAGAGTCAAGAATTTGCTTTTTTAATCACATAGTCGACATGATCACACCAAGATAGATCCTCTCTCAGTAGCACACCGAGCAGTTTAAAGAAGGATACTGATTGCACCGGCGAACCATCTATATAGATCGCATTATCAAGTGGAAGGTGGTATTGAAGGAAGGATATTGTCATCTCCTTACATTTCTTACTGTTAAGCTTCATTCCTCTACTTGAGGCATACTGAGATACATCATTTACGAGAATAGGTAGCAAGCTAGGAGAGCAACGTGGTACAATTTCTAGTGCAGTAGCATCGTCTACAAACTTTATCCGCCCATTCCAGTCCTGTAGGAGGGAATTGACTAAAATGGCAAAGAGAAGAGGGCCAAGTCTAGTTCCTTGAGGTAGGCCACCGTTAACGGGTTTCCATGAGGAAAAGGATGGTCCGATTTTAACACACTGTTCGCGGGAGGTAAGGAACGACTTTATCCATCTTATAATGGCAGGACTCACTTGTAATTTTAAAAGTTCATCAATAATGACATTATGGTCGACGAGATCAAAACCTTTTTTGAAATCAGCAAAAAAGATTCTTACAGAGCAGTGGCCTTGATCTAAAGCAGCATGAATCAAGTGTAGGAGATAAACAAGTGCCTGAGTGATTGACTTTCCCGGAAGAGCAAATTGCTTTGGGTCCAATTTAAGACCCACTTTCGACATGAGGGACTGTAGCATAAATCCTTCCATCACTTTAGATACCTGAGCTGTGAGTGATATAGGTCTTAAATCGTCCTCAATAGTCTGAGGTGGTGACACTTTTGGAATGGGAACGACGATAGAACGTTTTAGCTGATCAGGGAAGACTCCCTGGAGCACTGATGTATTGTATATGTCCATTATGATAGGGGCAAATTCAAAAGCAAAGGTTTTCAGGATCCTATTTGGGATACCGTCTGGGCCAGGAGACTTCGTCGTTTTAAGACGTCGCAACACTGAATAAACTTGCCCTATATTTACGAGTAGATGGTTGGGAACTTCTGTCTCCTGGTCATCGGTGCATTCTAACGAGGGTTTAAAATGCGAAGTAAGTCCAACAAGATATCCGTTATATGACTCAGCAAGGTCCTCACAGGTGGGGTTTACTTCAGAAAGTAGTTGATGTACCCAAGATTTCCGAGAAGAGAGACCCCCTATGGATTTAACCTCTTTCCACCATCTGGAAGGGTTTGCACTTTTCAACTTCTGCACGGAATTGGCATAGTACTTTCTACGTGCCACTGAACATACATCCCGTTGAACTCTATTGCGCCAAAATCTATATGCTTGTGAATTTCTTCCGTACTTATGAAGTGATTTTTGTCGCTTACTAATGGAGGACTTAAGCGATGACGTCATCCATGGTTTATCAGATTCCCTAACACTAGTTGGTTTATTGGGGAAAAAACAATCCATCATTGCAGAAACTACCTCATTAAATCTCCGGTACTTCATGTTAGGATCAGGTATTTCGAATATCTCCGTCCAATCGGTAGATGTAATAGTCTGACCAAAATGTCTTATACTGCTATCTCTTAAATCTCTTTTGCATACTCGTTTATTACACGAATTATCCAGACGATCTTTATGGGGTTTTATTAAAATGGCATTATGGTCGCTCGAGCCAATAGGAGGAAGCTGGCTTACATCAAAAACGACTTTCTTGGCATTAGTGAGACACCAATCCAATATGGCGTTGTGACGTGTTGGGACATTAATAATTTGAGTTAAACCGGACAATCTTTTCAACCGTTTTTCATCAAATAATGTACTGACAGGGTTAAAATCCCCAGTCACAAACACGAGACCATCAGGATGCAGAGAAAGGAAGGATTCAACATTACGCTGGATATGGTTGTACAGTTCAAAGTTCTCGTTGGCGCCGGAGGAGGTGGTGTGGTAAATGACTGCAAGTAGAAGAGCGGATATAGATCTTGGTAAACGCTTAGGTCTAAGTAGTAACCATAGGGATTCAATGGCTGAATCCTCGAAATGCTCGAGCCTCCTACAGTAAATTTCTTCTTTAATATAATGGAAACGCCGCCACCGCAGGAGTATGTGCGATCATTTCTGAATTGGATGAAGTTCGATAACGAAATCATTGAGTCCACAACAGAGGTGTTAAGCCAAGATTCAGTAATGCATATGACCTCAACTTGGTTAATTTGAGCTACCAACTCTAGTTCGTCTATTTTATTAATTATAGAACGGACATTGGCCACCAGCAGGGTAGGGAGCAGGAAATTGTTATCACGAGCTACATACGACGTGGAAATGGTAGGTGTGTTGGCCAGGGTTGGGGTAACCATGGCCTCGGAAGGTAATTTGGGAGATACTGCTTGTTCGTTATGTCGCGTGGGCGCAGAAGGTAATTTGGGGGATACTGCTCGTTCATTTTGTCGCGTGGGCGACGTAAATACTGAGGGGGATGAACTGGGGTCATCATTAGTGGTCTTGGATACATTGATTTTGGTGGAGGGAACAGCGGTTGAGACACTGAATACCGGTGATAAGGGGGGTGAGGTATTTGAGCATACTCGAGACTCTGTAATCTTGTTTCGAGTTGGCGCATCAAAGTCGGAATATTTTGTACGTCGTGACTTCCTAAAAAAGGATGTAATTGGGGGCATTGTAAGTTATCATTTGTTACCGGATGATTTCCAGTTGGA